AACTCCATGAAAGTACCGATGTACCTACTCCCAGTCAAGTTGGCATTTGTTCTTCCATTTTCTTAGAAACTATATTATATTTATAAATTTTACTATCAACTTTAACTGCATTTCTATTATTTAGATAAGTAATTGAAGCACACAACCTTTTTTTTTCTCTAGCAAAATCATTAATTATTTTCCTTATGTGTCTAGTTAAAGGAGGGAGGTCATCCATTATAAATATCTTAGTCGTTTTTAATTTAAATGTCACTCTTCTAATCTTACATTTATCACCATAGTCCAAAAAACTACAGTAAATCAACCTAGTTCTATCTTTCTGTTGTTGACCCAATCTGTAGCACTGCTCTAAACTAACATTATCAACACTTAATTTATTTTGAAAAAATTCCAATACTACATCTTTAACCTGCAAGTTATCATTTTCCGACTCAGGTAAACCAGAAATTATTAAATTATTACGCCTTAAGAAACACTCAAACCGCTCCTGACTTAATGTAAACCCGGCCATTTTGTTTTTCAAGTCTATTTTATTATCCGATAGAACTGTGCCAGTATCATATGCAAATTTTTTCTCTAAATCTTCTAATCTAGTTTCTAGATTAACAATAGTTTCATCTAAATTTTCTACCCAGGAGTAAATTCTATCAATTTTAGCAATCATTCCTTCCAGTTTTGTATTCTGCTTTAAATTTAGCTGAATAAATAATGATATCCCATCCTTAATATCAAGTTCTCCCTGAAGTAACTCCAAGATACTCATCTCCTCCAATAGGTCAGGATGAAAAATCTTAGATCTACTATCTGACTGACTTACTGGTGAATAAGTCTTCCTTTTAGACCAGATAAAACAAACCAGTGAGCTTACCTGCAAAAAATTGAATAATTATTTATAATACGCCCAAAAGCGTCGACCATGAACGCTGCCAACTATCAATACTAAGTTGTTCACTTAAATAGTAAATTAACACCTCCTGGTGGTAAGCATCTGCAAAAAATTGAATAATTATTTATAATACACCCAAAAGTGCCGACCATGAACGCTGCCCTATACAATGTTATAAAAATTATCAGTTTGATAATCCATACAAAAATGTGTTTCACAGATAGGCAATATTGCAGCAATAATTTTATAAATTTATCTAATTGTTATCATATGCAATGGCTTCCTTGAAATCTGATAACAAATTAAGTGGAATCTCATTTTCTATCATTTGCAGTGCACATTTATATAGTTCTCTATAATTAATTGATAAATCAGGTTTATTTTTCAAAAACAATTCCTTATGCCTAGCAGAAATACATTTTGAATAAACCACCCTATTTGGATCAAAAGGAAACAAACCCATGTTGAATTGTTTTCGATTTCAAAGCTTTCTTGTAAGCTTTAAAGAATAAAGCTGCAATATTAGTTTTAGAAACTCATTTTGATGATTGTCGTTTGTGTTTTCTGACATTTCTCTACTGACATTTAAGCTGTCGAAAAATTGCAACATCACAAGGCTGGATAATAATAGTTGCATTTGGCAACAAAAAGGGAGAATTCTTTTCTCAACAAAAATTATAGAGTTTTTCATTTATATGGGATTTATGTCCATCAAGAAGCAATAATATAGGAAACTGGATATTCTTATCCAGAAACCAGGGGTAGAAGACATTTGCAACATATTCATAAAATGTGGGCACTTATCCATCCTGAATCACTTCTGCCTACAGCCAAGCCTAAATCTGCAATATGCCTTGGAATCCTCTCATATGGAAACACTATCATAGGATCCCCTGACTGGTCACTTGCAGAAAAATTAGACAAAATTCTGATACACTGTTTTTCTTGTCCTGATGCAATGTTATAAAAATTCTTATATGCTTTAGGTCCCAGAAGTTTGCCAGTTTTTGGACAAAATAACATCCCTGTTTCATCCTTACCTCATGTAGTGATATAACTCAAGATGTAAAGAAATTATGCAAAGATTATCTTATTTATAACATAATCCTTGCATAATTTCTTTACAGCTCATTTTTTATACTCAAATGTCATTGGGTTTAACATGTTCACGGCATTACAAGGCACATGTGACTTGTATGGACATGTCTAGTTAGGGCTACAGACATAATTGCTTGTTTTTCCGTGGGGCGGCGCATATGTTTTGATAACATAATTCTACAAACATCATACTTTGTATATTGATATTATTTTATTAGGTGCAATAAAATATATTTAATAGTACGAGGCACAGGTGACTCATGCTGCCCTGTATTAAAATAGACTATGAGTCACGGGTGACTCTTAATGCTCAGCATCTGCCTAAATGTTTATCTAGTGATGCCATGAACGTGTTAAATAAATTCCTCTGAAATTGCTTGACCAATTTGATATGCATGTCAAGTCCAGGTTGACGAATGTCATAAGCATAAGAAGAAATGAAACTAGTCTTCCAGCAATGGGTGATTATGGTTGCTTATAATGGTCTTGTCTTTATGTTGATGTCACAATTCTACTAAATGTTCAGGTTATCTGTGCGTGCAATCAAACAAGTAGAAAATTTTAACCAATGAAATTGTAAAATTTTTGAAAATGCAAAGTACAAAATTATAGAGCACATGGGAAGGAAAGCATGAGGTTCAAATAAAGTGTAAAGTTTTGACAAAGATATACATTTATTTTGTAACATTTTCATCAATTGTAATGTCAACATGTTTTGGGTAACATTGTCTCTTAACAAATAGAAATTTTGATAACCTAATTTAGTTAGAAAAGTGTGNTGGTCTTGTCTTTATGTTGATGTCACAATTCTACTAAATGTTCAGGTTATCTGTGCGTGCAATCAAACAAGTAGAAAATTTTAACCAATGAAATTGTAAAATTTTTGAAAATGCAAAGTACAAAATTATAGAGCACATGGGAAGGAAAGCATGAGGTTCAAATAAAGTGTAAAGTTTTGACAAAGATATACATTTATTTTGTAACATTTTCATCAATTGTAATGTCAACATGTTTTGGGTAACATTGTCTCTTAACAAATAGAAATTTTGATAACCTAATTTAGTTAGAAAAGTGTGTATGCTTAGGAAGAAATTAGATGATATTTTGAAAAATACTTAGAGAAATGGATGGCTGGAATTAATGGATAGATTAATAGTATATTCAATGGTTCAGTAATTGATGTAGTCATTAAAAAATAGATGGAATCAGGCATTCAATGGCATTTTTGAGTGAAATGTTAAGTGACCTCTTTAAAATAAGATAAAAAATGTTGTTTATCTTGAAATACTCTTTCCTGAGATAGAGAATGTTCTCTAATATGAGTGTATAATGTGAGTATCATCCAGTCATTCATATTGGCTATAAGGAAATTGAGACCAGTCAAAAGACAACTATCTGCTCATCTCTGGAAGATGAGAGAATCTTTGAGAGAAAAAGTTGTCCAGAATCACATTTTGGGAGAAGCGATGATCTCTGAGATATAAACAAATGTTTAGCCAATTGATGGCCAGCTTGTGCTGTAGACACTGTTTCTTGAAGATGAGAGATGATGACCAGAATATGGTCCCTGATCAGATTGTGACTTTGAGAAATATCTCAAGAAAACTGTCCCGTAAACTTAAACTGGGATTTTGGGTGCTTACAAAGTGCATTTGGCAGTTCATTTCTGTTTACAAGTGTAAACAAACACATAACTCAATTGTTATTTGACATTCCTTGAGTTTTAAACAATTTAACATGACAATTGAATATAAACTCCATCTTAACAGCTCTATATTCACTTATATATTTGTAAACATTTCTATTTGGCAACATTGAACAAGCTCAAAAGCTATTACATGGGAACTGAATTAAGTTGTTCTGAAGCAAAGTTTGAAAGTAATTGACTTCCAAAATCAGCCATTAAATCATGTCATTGCTTGAAACAGCACACTAAATAAACTCTAGATTTAAGCATAAATTTATCTCAGTTCCAGAGCTAAGAAGCTTTGCAGACATTGAAAACATCAAATGCAATTGTAATAGTAATAACTAATTATTTTAATGAGATATTCAATGATTATCATAAGATTGCATTGTATATTTTGATTTTTTTAAGATAAATGAGTAATCATGGTGCAGTTTTTATATGTAAATTATTGATGTTTATTGAAAATAATGATGTTATATTAGCATGATCTTCGTACAATGATCCGTTGACAAAATTCATTGAGATGACATAATGATGATTTGTGAATAATTTGAGTTTATAAAATTTTGTAATGTATTTTTAAAACGTGAAAATTGTTATTGGACTAATTAATATTTCTTTGTTATATGAACTTATATTATGCATTTTAGTAAAAAATTAAGCAATTGAGATATAATACATATCTCAAAGCCCAATGAGTTAAATTATAATCATCCAACAATCGCCTAAATATTGTGCCTGGCTTGGGGTCCGGTGCACTACCAATTGCACCACCCGACCCCAAGCCAGCCTTCACTTCCAGAAGTATTTAAATTTTCGAAATAACCTTCCATGGTTACTAATGGTGCTCACTGGAGACGATCCTACATCAACAGCCAATGAACATCTGGTAGCGCACTGCACAGCAAGCAGAGGCTGCGGGTTCAAGCCCCGCCCTGGGTCAGTTATTTTCTTCCAGAAGGTTCTAAATAATTTATTAAATTATTAAAATTATAATTATTAATTTAGTTGACATGGCACCTAATGCTTACCTCTAGTATCAAATTTATTTGTATTAATTATTTTGATTAGGCAATCGTTGGATGATTATCAGCAATTGAGATTTTATATCTGTAACATAAAAATTACTTTATATTATACTTTTTATTATCCAAAATATTCAATTTATATGAAGTAATTTGTCAAACTGATATATTTAGGAATATCTGTTAATTTTATTATTATTTATAAATAGAGCTTCTGAATATATGTATATGTTAAGACTTTTACTGAAGCATAATCTTATTGTAAAGATTTTTAATCTATGTGTTTGTTTTTTTTTTTAATATAGAATAAATCCTAAGTACTATCTTTGAGATGTTTTGAAGTTGTATTAAGAAGTTTTAGATTATGCCAGGATCCCATTCCACTGATGGAAATGTCAGATTCTTAGGTAACTATTTATTGATTTGGAAAATTATAATCTTATTTAATTCTATACTGGTGGGTAAGAACATATAATTTTAATAATAATGATTAATGTTTTTTTAATATATAAGAATGAATTAAAAATAATACATTGAATCATATTAGAGAAGAAAGTAAACAATTTAATATAAAATGTATCATTATAACTTAAAAGGAGTGACAAACATTTTAAAAAGATGAAATATTTAAAGTAATGTAAAATTTTTCAATCTTGCATTGTAATATACATGTATTTACAGATAATATTTTCAGCTACATGTATATTGTAATGTATATACAGATGTTAAATAATTTCAAAATGTTTTATAAATATCACATGACAAAAATTTATTCATCAGTTAATTAAATTAAACTTATTATTCATTTTTATTCATTTAATGAATAAAAATCATATTAGAATTACTGCTTATTAATTCATTAATCACAAAATTGAAATAAAACTGTTATAAAGAGCAAACTAATAAGGTAAACAACTAAAAAATTAATCAGGTAAAAATATTTTCATGAAATTAGCATATGTTACATATTACAAATAGATTAGAATATATAATGAGGCTTCAACAAGTTTTCATTTATTGACAACTCAGAGAATATTGAACTTTTTGAAAAAAGTCCCGAATTAAAACAATTATCCTAAGATGTCACTAAATGAAGTATTATGTTCTGGAAGAACTTTTTTAGTTGGCTTTGGAACTATTCTTGAATAGCATCTGAAATGTCTGTCTATAATTGAAATTTACAATTTTTCAATAATTTCTTCATGAATTCAAAAGGTTATCTTTGATGGTGCCAGCAACATGTAATTTGGCATTGTCTAGAGCAACATGATTTTCGATGTGAGTTTATTGGTATTTTTTGTTCTTGATTGTAGCACACAATCAATCTAGTATTGCATAATAGCAGTTGGTAATGATTATGATGTTAGATGGTGTGAAGTTTAACAGCCAAGTCCTTTATGGTCAAAAAACACTGTTATTTCATAATCTTGCTGGTAGACATAGCAAAACTTCTTTCAGTGAGATGATATTAGCATTGCTTTGGTTTGGATGCTAGATTTTGTCTCCTGCAACATTCTTAATAGGAAATTGTTACTTTCTCTCTTGTTGTATTCCAAATATATGAGAAATGACAATATTCTTTGAGATTTCTACTGGTTTCTGAGACATTTTGGGATTCAAATTCAAGGTCTAAATCTTGAATTTAATACAGTAGACCCCTATAAAACGGGTTCATATAATATGGATTTGTATATAATGGCAAAAAAATTGCGATTGTATTTGTATAAACACGCTAAAAGAGACTCCTATATAACAGTAAAACATCATTGCCGACTCGTGTTGCGATAGGATTGGTTGAATCTAGACCAATAGCAGATATTGCACAAATTGCTGAGTTTAAACAAGCAGCGGACCTACTAAAAACCATTTATTATTCAATGGCCATAAAAATTATATTTTTATTAATGATGTCTCCAAAGTTCAGCAAATTTTTTGCAGAAAAATAATTTATCGGAAACATGCACCCGCCGTTTGATGCTCCACTCCACGATGAAAACAAGCTTAAGCAATGGCGTTGTCAAACGGTGCACACTCGGTAAGTAATCCTACAATTTTTTGTTTATAGCATAGTTTATTTGGATTATTCCCAAAAAATTATACGTGTTTTGGAAATGTTGAGTCAAATCAGTCTAGAATCGATTAATTTTATAGAAGAAAACCTTTCAAACAGCTGTAGTCCGTAAACTGCATATGTGCTGGGCTGTGATTGGCTCGTGTATTTAAGGACTTGTACAACATGAATTTCATAAAACATGGAACGTATCTACCATGTTATAGGGGGTCTACTGTATATAGATGTATTCACTTTTGTGATGTGGCTTGGTGTTATTGACATGGATAGTCTCTCACTTCATGGTAAATTTGTAATGATGCAGAACTTGTTATAACATTACATATTATCACAGGACAGGATAGGATTCATAATAAATTACTAATATATAGCAATAAATTTCAGCAGGATGACATCCTTTTGTACATCAACAATAAGTCATTATTCAGTTTTTGATCAAACATCAGGAGCTGGAATGCACCTGATATTTTTGAAGCCATTACTACCACTCTATAAAACTTAAAAGACAGAATAAGTTCACACACTAATATTTACTGCATATTGTTGAAGGAGTGACTCAGTGTATTTTCTAGTTTGTTGATATAAGCACTTTTCTGTAAGCAATAGAGTGCTGTGAATGGAAACTTTTTGATGCCTCCATAAAAATACAATCAATTAATCTTTGAAAATTTTTTAAATTCACTTACAAGTTAACTTGTTATTGATTCAAAGGTCATTTGCTCTTGGATTGAGTTAATTTGAGAATGGTTATGTATGGATTTGGAAATGGAAAAGTATGATTTAAACTTAGGACCCTAGTCCTAACTTTAAATCATACTTCTGTAAATGAGTGTCTAATGGCATGTACAATATTTTAAAAACATATGTTTGTTTTGATAAATCATATTTCTTATGAAATCTTAACCCAATATTCAGGGAATATATTTTCTTTGTAAGTAAATTCTTTGAACTTTCTGAGATAGCAATTTATGGATAACTTTTAAAATTCTTAGAAAATTTTATATATACATGGAAAATCAGGAAATCTCAGTACTTTTTAATTTAATAGAATTTTGCATCCTAGTGAAATTTTTCAGTTTTGAAATAATAATCTATTTACTCAGCAGTCTTTGTTCAAAAGTAAAATAAATTTGGTAAATGTAATAATTGAAACCATTATATCATGATCATTGAAGGTTGTGTGCAGTGTCAAAGTTACATAACAGAATTTTTTCAATCAAAGCAATACAAATTTTCCTGGCAAAGGGATCTATTTTATTTATTTAATTAAATTTAAAGGAAAAGTCTGGTTAGACATTTGATTTCCACTTTTGATTAAATAAACAAAATAGTAATTTGTAAAAAAGTCTTCATGTTTCATGAAAATATGAGAACATTTTGAATATACAATAGTAATAATATAGTTTAATATCAATATTAAAATAATATTTTCTATAAATTTTGAGAAATACTGTAATTATATTTCTTCATAATTAAGTAGAAATAAATATAAACATTAGATGCCTGAAACAATTAGGAGTATTGCAATATCAGATTTATTTTATAGCAAAACCAGACCTATCAATCTGACATTAATATTTTAGAATCTACCTGTGATATTATTCATAAAACTTTCAAATAATCTTGTTTTTTTCATGCCAGGTGTACTACTGTTTTAGCAGTTGCAGAATGCCATATGTTCTACAAGAATTACTTTGTTGTGAGATTGCATCATAAACTTTGATAAACTATTTAAAGTTTAATACAGTAAGTTTTTTTGTTATTTGTCTGACTATGTGTTATACATAAAATAAATCATCATATCTGTTGCATTACTAAGCTGATATTGCAGTAATCCCTAATTGTTTTGTTTAGTATATTGAATAATAAATACTTTTGATTGTATGCATTATTACTTTTTTAAAATTAAAATAATTTGATTTCATTATTAATTCTATAATCAATCAGAAATTTAACTCATTATTTTCAGGCAATATTTTAAAATAATTAAATGACATAACTGCCTATCTTCAGGTCAAACTATATTGTCAAGATTAAGATTAATAATTAGAATTAATTTTGAAATTTAATTTAATAATTTAGAAAATTCTGGAAGGAATGATTGGTCTGGAGCAAGACTTTAATTTGGAACTTCTATTATGAGACACATTTTAGTTCCCAGATTTTTTTTCTAATCTTCGCACCTAAATGTTTAACAATTCAGATTATATTGATATAAGTATACAGGAAAATTGCATTATAATAATTGGTAACATTTCTGTTCATAGTCTTCCATGTTTCTCAGCTAAGTTAAAGTTGACTGAGAAGAAATCCATGGAGGATTGTGACAGTTGAATTTTCATATCTTTCAAAACATTTATAACAATCATGTTTCCATGTTTTTAAGAAATGTTATTGAGAACTCAACAAAATAAAATATTTTTCCAGAAAAGTTCTGAAATTTTTGGCAAATATTTTAAAATCTGAATTGCCATCCTCTAATTGACTATATTGATATCATATTTTTGAGATTTTCCAATACTTGTCTGAGCTTATTTTTTTTTTATTCAGTATTTTGGTATCTAATGATCATGGCTGTTGGTAAGTGAGATACTATGTTAATTGTTACATTCCATAAGAATTCAGATGCTTCAAAATTTATTTGTTACTTTTTAATGTATGTTGTCATTTAACACAAGTCAAGGCTAATTGTGTTTTTTCAGATTCTGTTGATACACTCTCAAAAGTCATTAAATGATATATTTATAAGTTCAAATTATTCAGAAATATCATGTTTAAATTTATCAGCTTGGACAAAATTAAATTATATTGTCATAGTCAAGTTCATTTTTCATATATATGATTTTCTTGTCCTTCCCCTCCTCCTTTTAGGAATTCTTTTTAAAAAATATTGTTTCAATATTGTTTACAGCATTTTTCCACTTTTCAATTTTATTCATACAAATAATGTTTTTCTGCAAAAACACTTGATTTGTTTTTAAAGAATAATTATACAGGAGAATTTTATGCAGATCTTTAAAATTGGGCATCCTTTTTAACCCTCTTTTTTGTTTGTTTGTTAATTACATGCACTTTTGCAGTTTATTAAATGCATTGTTCTTTAATAAAATTCTTTGATAGGAACTACTAGGATTATATTATTTTTAATTAGAAAATTTTCTCAGATTCTAAAATACAGTAATTGTTATAATTATATATAATCATCCCAAGAACCTGATCTATAAGCTTAACATGTTAACCTCTTCAGCTGAAAGCTGTGAACATTTCAGCATTTTGCTTTAGAAAATATGCACTTTTTGACTTTCTGGAAACCTTCATATGTTCAAATCTAGTATTACAAATACTGCATTTAACATTTGCATAATCTTGCACTTTTCTATAAATTTTTGAGACAGTTGTTTTTACATATTTTTCTATTACAAATTTGGTTTTGTATTTTTGTGCAAATTAGATTTTTTGTGTATAATTGAAGTAAGAAATACCAACAGTTTAAACTACTGTACAGTGAACAGATGATTAATATTTAAAACACTGCTTAAGACTGATAAAAATTGTCTGTTATTACTTGTATGTTCAGGCTGATATTGTGAAAAGACAGATTAAAGATGCCTAATTACCTGCAAATAATGATCACTGTGGGTAATAGATAACACATGATTATTTATTACAATGCAAAAATAACATGCTGTATATACAAAATCAATTAGATTTTAAATTTTGTGACTATCTTAAGATTTTTTTTTTACTTTACTTTACAGACAATAAACAACCATTATTCAACATAGATATTGTTTTATTTAGAGCTAAAAAAATCTTAATTGAAATTATAATTATTTATTATATAATTTTCTGGTGATTAAAAATTAACTGAAACTATCAATTTGAACATATTTATGTTCAAATTTGTAGTTTGAAAGAAAAAACATTCCAAAATTTTTACATTTGAAATATTTTTAATGAATTAAAATTGTATATAAAGTAGAACCTCCATTATCCGGATTTTCGATTATCCGGATTGTTCAAAATAAACAAAAATTTTACGAATTTGCTGATTTGCACTTGGCGAATTACGACACTGTTTATGTACGTGATGGAATATAAACTTTTTTTGTTTCAACAACGTCTCACCCAGCACAGTGGTCGTAAACTCTTAAATATATTTTACGTAGTAATAAAAATATAACTTGACATATGTATTTATAAATAATTTATATTCAAATTACATCATTTCTATGACCAAGGGCGGTGTAAGACATGGGCAACGTGGGCCACCACCTATGCCTCACAGTCCGAAGGGCCTCGCGTTTTGAAGGTTTATCCATTACTTAAAAACCGCAAACGCGACGAAAAAATTTTACTCGTCATAAAACGATAAATAGTTTGTCAAATTTTTATTCATAAAAATGCAGTTTCAACTGCTTTTTATTTTATAAAATCCATCTTCTTGCGCCACCAGAGGGCCTTTTAAACAATAGGTAGTGTGTTAGCGTTGGTCAGTAGTAGTCCAAATTCAATACGAACGTTTGTTTCTTGAAAATTTGATCACGATTTAAATACAGTATTTATTTTTAATATTACCGATATGTTATCAAAAAGAAAACATGTTATATTATCATTAAAAGACAAATTAAAGTATCTGTTTCGATTATCCGGATTTTTCCTTATCCGGATTACCTTCATCCCCAATTAGTCCGGATAATCGAGGTTCTACTGTATTTAGGAATACCCATAATAGAAAAGACTATAAAAACTAAAAATATTACTTTGCTTTCATTACCAATTGATATTTGATTTTAATGCAAGATTTATATGTCTAATAGGCTTTTTAGTTAATGTCCTTTTTAGTTAATGCCTTTTTAAGTTATGTCCTGCATATTTACTATATTCAGAATACTTATGCCAATAAAATATATTATGATGATGATGATGATGGTAATGATAATTAAGTATAAGATTTTTAAAGCAAGATTAAATGAACAGCTTCATCAATAGTGCTTAAGAACAAGAGAATAAAATTGTCAATTTTTTTTTTAACTATAACTGTTATCAGAGAATAATAATATTTTAAATTTATTGAAGTGAAAAAAATTTCACAAGTAATTATTTAAAACCAGTTCAAAAAGAAGTCATTCATTTTGACATACAAATAAAATTTTAATGATGTACAAAACCAGATAAAAAAATGGAATACAAGAAAAAGTAAATTACATTCTGTGCAGATACATTTCTTGTGGCAAAAAAACTTATTGGAATACCAAAACAACTAGAAATAAAAAAAAATCAGGTATGTAATTGATCTTAAACCATGAATTGTTTCATGCAAATAAAATATGTTCAAATTTTTTTTCTTCCATTGTTCAGTAAGTGGAGCAAAAAAAATAATCATTTATTTTAGAGTTTTGTGGGACATAGAGAATTTATGTCCCACAAAATCTGCCCAGTAGGTCAAGTCCAATGCAGTTGTTACCATGCAAAGCTTCTGGATATATGTTCTCATGTTGTACATAAGTGTTTTGGTCAATATTAATACACTTGATTCAGCCTTGTATTGCTATTCAAAATGTGTTTCTTTGATATTGTGATTGTTCCAAAGAACTAGCAAATCAATGAAATCTTTAAGTTTTGCATTAAACATTACTTCCAACACAAACTATGCCTGTTGCATCAAACTGATAAACATTATGATGAGTTATCTAATTTTGACTTCATAGAGAAAATATAGTAAGGGAAACAAACCTTAATAATAATGTACTAAACAAATAAATAAAATACTTTCTTACTGGACTACACTATATAAATAAAATCAAAACCTTTAAATAATCCAGCAAATCGTTTTAATATCTTAAAAACGCTTTCGAACGCTTTAAGCGATCTTCCTCAGTTATCATTTTTAATCGAATGAAGAATTCGAAATTACGTAAAACAAAATTCAAAAAGCAGTTAAATAAATGTACGTTAACATTTACCAAGTTTAAACAATTGCAAAAATTATACAAGTTAATTAAATCGAAACAAGAAATAAAATAAAATAAAATATATACATTCAGTAAAAATTATCTTAATTATTCTTCCCGCTTACATAAACTACGTCAACTCATCATAGAAGGATTTCCATGCCGATGGCAATCCGTCAGCATCCCTATGATTAATACAGTTTGTGTGCAACTGCGCCTTGTGAATTTCTAGTTTTTCCAGATGTTTTATGGCCTGCCTGGATCTTGTAGCTTTAATGATCGACGCCCGATCCCAAAAGACCTCGATATTCTGTTGCTTGGCAAAGGCAGCAAGCGCCATAGAGTCTACGTTTTTATTTACTGAGTGCCTATGTTCAGCAATTCTTTTCTTTAAGTTTTTGATTTTATTTGTACTAAACAAATAAATAAGTCCTCTTAGTGTCCTTAGTTATTTATTTGGTAAATATAATTAGGTAGAAAATATTTCTAGGAAGTTTTTACCTATTAAATTGCAAAAAAAATAAAAACAAGATTCATTAAGGATGCATTGAAGACAATAAGAGATTGTTGCATTAAGCAGTAAGATAACTCATTAAGTAACACTCATCAAATAAACCATTACCAGTTCACAACCAAACAGAAAAATTCTTTCTACGAACATTTTCATCTATATGTAATAGACATCCTCAGGTATTGACAATATCGAACTAACGGCTAGTAGAATAGAATGTTTTTGAAAGTTCCGTTTAACTACGTAATTCGAATACGTTGCATTAAAATTGAAAATATGTA